CACAGCTCACAGCAACCTTCAACTCCTGGGCTTAAGCAATTCTCTTGCCTCAGCCTCCCGAGTAGCTGGGACTACAGATGCCCGCCACAACGCCGGGCTATTTTTTGGTTGCAGTTTGGCTGGGGCCGGATTTGAACCCGCCACCCTCGGTATGTGGGGCTCGCAGATTCTCACTGAGCCACGGGCACCTCCCGGAGAATGCCTCTTTTTACTCACACTTTTTTTTTCCCCTAATACTTTGTCCTGGCCTAAGATAAGAGATGTCATCTGTATATCTTGAATCATATTCTCTGCTTAATCCTGTGAAGCACGGTTGGAAATACCCCATTTTTGAAGTTGGAATTTCTACATCATTTTAAATGAGATTTTTGGGGGGGGTGGAGGGTAATATTGTGATTGTGGGAGAAAAAGCTGTGTGGTCAGATTATGGGATTAGTAACTGGAAATTTGCTTAAGTAAAATACCTGGCACAAACCCATTTAGTGGATTCTGGTGTTTCCAGTACAAGGTGATTAATTTGGTACATCCTAATGGAGTTTCTGTGTATCTGTATTATCAGAGGTAAATAATTAAAAAATAAGGCGTTATCATCCTCTAATGTGCATATAAACCATCTGAGATTTTTGTTAAAATACAACCAGATTCTGATTCTATATATCTGGAGATTTCAACCTTCTCAGTTGATAACCATTGCTAGTGATCTGTGGAACACACTTTGCACAGTGAAGGGCTAAACCGAGTGAAATGGGAGCCTTTTTCATGTGGCAACTGCCTTTGAACTAGATGGGCCCTTTGTATTGCTGAAGGTTAGGATTATGGGGAATTTTTACTAGCTATAGTATAATCAGCTATGTTAGCAGGAAAAAGATTTTTTTTGAGAAGATGCTCACTAGAGGTCGCTGTTAGCCTTACCGAAGACCTCCGGATTGAAAAAAAATGTTTTAACATCTCAAACAGCAGGAAATGCTAAGAATCAGAGAGCAAATTTGAGGAAATAATGGAAGTGATAGAAAATCAGAATATAGGCCGACTGCGGTGGCTCACATCTGTAAATCCTAGCACTCTGGGAGGCTGAGGTGGGGGGATTGCTTGAGCTCAGGAGTTGGAGACCAGCGTGAGTAAAAGTGAGACCTTTTTTCTTCCAAAAATAGAAAAATTATCTGAACATTGTAGTGGTCACCTGTAGTCCCAGTCACTCTGGAGGCTGAGGCAGGAGGATCACTTGAACCTAAGAGTTTGAAGTTGCAGTGAGCTGTGATGATGTCACTAAGATTCTGTGTCTCAAGGAAAAAACAATCAAAATACATGTATAGTGTGGTTTGCCATGAGCTTTCGCAAAATAGAGTGGTTTGTCATGGTTTTCTTTCTTTTATTTCCAGTAGCAGTATTTTTTTCCCAAAAAATTCCCCCAACTTTTTTTTTTTTTTTTGAGACAGTCTCTCACTCTGTCACCCTGGGTAGAATGCTGTGGCATCATAGCTGGCAGCAACCTCCAACTCCTGGGTTCAGTGATCCTCTTGCTTAAGCCTCAGGAGCACTTGAGAGTATAGGTAGCTACCACAATATGTGGCTAATTTTTCTGTTTTTAGTAGAGATGGTGCCTCTTCATATTTTAAACCCTTTTTTTTTTT